CACAAGCTAGATTAAGAGCCTAAAGCAGAAGCCAGTCTGCGTTCCAAGGTCATCAACCTAGAATGCAATTATAAAACATCTTTTGCAAACTACTCCCTTTTCAAGGATGAACAGAAGCTCAGATATCTTATGGATACTTCTGAAACTTTTAGTATTAATAAAATGTAAGATTCATCTATTAAAATGTAACAGCACCAGTGTGAGAATTCCATTTTACAAAAATAGTTGTGTATAAAAATGGAAGTCAGCTTATGTCTGTTTTCAAAAGATATCTCTCATTTAAAACTCTCTTACCTAAAGCCCTGTTATTAGCATTTCCTTGATTTTCTGATGACACTAAGTGGCATTTAAAGGTCAGCAAGGAAGAGACTGCAGCTTGCCTGTGAGAGTGATTTGACTTCCCGTTCCCTGTCCACACCGGTCAATAAAAATTTCTCAAAATGTCAAGTTCTTTTCTTGTGAGGTTGCTACAGCCAGGCCTTTCTTCCGCAGCTGTTTGCCAAAACTCACATATTTGAGCTCCCAGTCTTGTTATGCAATTTCCTTCTGAGAAGTTTTTAAATCAAAAGTAATCAATTGAGCTGTTTTTAAGCACTCAAAGTACCAGATGTATCAGTAGTAAGGGGTTTTATTTTTTCCAAATCAGAGACAAAAAATAAGAATAAAAGTAACATAAAGGAAATAATTTTTTTTTGCAAGTGTACCGTGGGTAAATACAAAAAGTAAGATTTAGAGCAGGCAGACAAATCCATCTACTCAGTCACAGCAAGAATATTTATGCCTGTTGGACATTTAAACTCCATTATTGCAAACTTTTATTGATTTGCTGAATGACACCACAACTGATTACAATCGGCCATCTAAAATGCCAGACAGGTTATGTCAGACCTATTGCACGAATTAAAGTCTGAGGCTGCTTTCCTTAACATGATACTGAAATTCCTTATACTAGCACTAAATTTGACAACACTGAAACTGAATTAATTCAAGCTCCTGCTTCAAAACCAAAGCATAATACTGCGGTCACAAGATTGCTTGGAGACAGTCTAAAAAAAAAACCAAAATTGTGACTACTCAGATTTTCCTTTCTAACCAGCCACACTGAATACAGTTTGCTTTTTGTACTCCCTGAAGCACTTGTGATTCTGGTACTTGCATACAGTCTACAGTCAAAAAGGAAAAAAAAGTTAACCTTTTCCTGCTCTGAACTATAAAAAATAAATGCATTTTTATGCAATTTACTTTATGTCACTTTATTATTTCGTTGCATTTTGCTATTGGTAGGAAATGATCTGGTCATCCATCACA